TGAGAACTAATCCTTGAGTTGTCCCACAGGATATCATTACATTTGACTTAACTACACCTCCAAAAAAGCTATCTCATCTAGAGTCGACGTTCGTTTTGAGCTTGTATAGGTATTTAAGAATTACTGATTAAATAATGTCGATACATTTTACACTTTCGAATATTATTAGAAAACATAAATTTTGTTCAAATAAAACGATTTCTATAAATTCTTGCTAATTACAATCGCAAACTACCTCTGTCAATACTGTTCCCTAAAGATTTTTATGATAATTATTAAGTTGTTTATATCATTTAGGCAATTGTTTTTAGCCATGGATATTATTTCATAACTAAAGCGCTATATTCTCGATTCCCGTTAATTCTTAATTCCTCCACTCTTCTAGAAACAATTTAGAATAGCAGATTACAACTAATTAATCTTAATAACTTTAGGTTTTTCATCAGGCCTTACGTTAAGGTATATTTTGTGAACGCTCTTTGCAGCGTCCACAAAATTGTAGCTTCTTTCATTATTTAAATTTGTGATTATTATAATTTGAATCATTACTACGTAAAAATAATTTTTTTTGTCCATAATCAAAAATCTTTCGGTATGGTATCATAAAGCCTAACAAAACCTATGGTTAAAACATCATTTTCTAATATATGAAATCGTTTGCCCTTACTCGATATCATTTGTATACGGTTAAAAGTAGAATGACTTTCCTAAACTTTCTTTTAAATAAATGCTAAAGCCAAAGCCCTTAATTATTTTAAGGGATTTCATTTAAATTAGAAGTTTACTTGTCAGTTTTGTGCGATATGCGAAAAAGCTGCTGCTATCAAATATATGTTTTAATATATTCGAATTGAGTAGGATTTTGAGATTATCGGTATATCCCGAATAATAACTTTAGTTAAGTTGATGAAGTGCTGAAAGTGAATTTTCTATAATTAGGTCTCACGATTATATTGGGGTGCTGATGAGGCATAGGCATGCTCAAGACTGTAGTCCACCCTGAATTTTAATACTTTTTGAAGCAAGACTGAGTAAAATTCAATTGCTTATTGAGCTCTAGTTATCCCATTCTGGCAATATATGATCAAAAATTCATAAACTCAAACGGCTATAGCGACTAGAACTCATAAAATGAATTAATAATCTATTATCCGAAACACTTTTCGCCCTCAAATGCATTTAAGGAAGCAGGACTAGGGGCCATGACTTTAGACTAGTATATAAATGAAATTGTGACAGATAGGAAGAGGTTAACTTGAAGGGATAAATGAAAGTGTAGGAGAAATTGCAATATTGAGAGCAACGACAGCTTTTTCCAAAAATCATTCTACTGATTCTTTACCTGAAATCATAAAATCCTGTATGTGCAGCTTACAAACATGTTTTTATTAAAGAATTACTAGATATATAAGCAATCATTAACGAATAAAGTTAAAATGAAAATCTAATCAGAATCTAAGGACGAAGTCTTATTCTAGTGAGGTATAAAAATGCTGAGATATGGGTTCTTAGTTATAATTCAATAAACGTAAAGTTTTGTCCATTCTTATTTGGATTAACCTTATGAATTAACGATTTTCAATTTTACTTACAAGTTTTTGAATAAATATTAAAAAAGACAAACAATTATTGTTTACGATATTTCAGCTAATTTTAAAATTATTAAGCAAATAGACTGCCTGAATAATCCATAGTGAATTGAAAAACCACTACATCAGCAAATAAAGGTTTATTAACCTAACAGCTAAAAATATGACCTGCTTCTTTGTAGTTAAATAAAAAAGGACTTTAAGAAAAACAAACTATATCCCTTATTACTACTTTTCTGAACGCCTTAAAACGTTTGTAAACTATTTAATTATGATATAATTCTTTGATAATTGTTTTGTAATTATTCACATCTCCAGGGCACTGTTTTTACTTCCTTATATTACCTAATATTTGATATATACATATTGCCAGTAAGCTTAAAGACGTTTACTGACATAGCCATTGGCGCATGAGGTATTTAAGGGAATAAAACCTATATATAAAAATATATTTTGTTATAAACTCGCAACACGAAATAAATTTATTATTAAATTTTGATTAGCAAGTGATTATGTTCCTTAACTGATCTAGATTATATCATAAGTCTTGCTGCTCAATATATCGCCATCAGTAGGATTTTACATTTATGCTACATAAAAGAGTCATGCTGCATTGAATCAATACATTTGAAGATGTATAAATATTTAGCCTTGATTTAATAGAACCTTGGTACTTGTGTTGTTTTGATTTAAGATCTATTTGTTAATTGACTCAGTATTTAATTTTTAGTTAATAATATGCAGTCATTGAAGGATTTTATTAAAATACTACTAGGCAAAGTAAACAGATTTATCGAATTTTGTCCTTCAGTTATCCTAACTGCAAACACCAAATCGATGTTATTTACTCTATTCTTACTTGGCCTAAGATCAGCTAACCAATATATATATATATACAACTAATTCTAGTTATTTAACTGTATTACACAAGACAATATACCTATGCTAAAACAGTTTGGCAAAAGGATGTCTTACATAAAATAAAATTGTAATATAAATGAAACTATTTTTAAGTTTCTAAAAGCTATATAGGTCTACAGTTAAACTTCAAACATGTATTGTGTTTAAAACGAATATGTTTGATAAAAGAATATATAAATATATACCATATAATAAGTAATTATTAACTATTGATTCACTATAATGAGTAATATTTTTCTTTAATAATTAAATTATTCGCCTCCAAAGCTTATCAATATTATATATCTTAAAAATAAAAATAAATTGGCTAAATAAATTAATTTTCAAATATCTTTATTTTAAACAAAAACTAAAGATTCACTTTGAGAATTTGCCTCAAAGCAAGCATATACTATATCAAAGTTATTTAAATTCAAATAATATCACACAATATTTCCCGTTTTTAGACTAAAATTCGTATATTTTATGGATAATATATCCTCCTCGATGTTGGGGAGTGTCAAGCAAATAGCAATTCATTCGGATGAAAAAACGGTTTAAAAAAATAAAATAAATAAATAGAATTTTGGCACAATTTTCAAAGGCAATGATGTAACACCACTGAATTGTGCTCACTATGGTGTTGCATCTAAAATTAAGGATCTATTTAGCTACAGTCTAAGGAAAACAAAGCATTTATATGAAACACTCCTTCGCGGTAAAACCCTCTTCCATCTTTCTCCGAGGTTAATTCACACAGGTTTGCCCGAACATTATAATCTACTATAATCAGATGCGTAATTTGCCGATCAACTTAACTGATAGATTTATTATCTGCTTGTGCCGAATTGCAGGTCTTTTAATTGTACTTTGGCCTTTGAAAATTTATGACCGTCTCTTGAGTTTTTTATAACTAAATGCTTCGGCATCAGATAATGGGTTGCTCGGCCAGATGAACCCGGGACTCCCGTGGCTCTACTGATTATTATTGGTTTCTTCTTGCCAGATTCTGCTTGTTTTCCACTCGCCAGTGAGATAAAAAGATGGTGTTGATTCCGGTTGATTCCCGTCTGTCTATCCTCTAAGATGGCTGGAGCGGGTTTTTCTGCAGTTGGGATCAGAACAGAATTAGATCCCACGGGCCCATTTTGTCCAGAAAGACGATTTTTACTGTTTGTAGATATAGCCGAATAAGAGGACGCAGATGTAGGGCTTGAGCGAAATCGTGTTTGCAATAGACTGACAAGGCCAGAGCGCCGTAATTCGCTAGTTGCAGGGTGAAGATTAATTGCCTGTTCAGGCAAGGATGGCCAATTTGTTAACCGTTCAGCATAGAACTCACGCAAGAAGCCAGGGTCACCAGGCTGGCTATTTGTGTTTATAGGCCGACAGCCACCTGAGGTAAGATTGCAAGCAATTGCTTTACCAGCAAGTCCTGAAGCTCGCATAACCATTTTTTCGGTCCAGGCTGTCGGATAACCCAATTGTTTGACTGAACGCAGTGGAACAGATGACTCAAGAGCTCGATTTCCGGCCGCAGAACCAGCTGAACTGCCATCATTAGAAATTAGATGAGGTGAGGAAGATTGAGTATTCTCATCCCGAGCTGCGAACCGGTTGAGGTCAGGCCCACGATGCCGAATCAATGTTGTCCAAGGAATGCAGGCAAATATAGAGTGCCGCATTGCTGCTGATAAACTAAGTCTGTCTTTTGGATGACGCAATAGCATCCTATGCATAAAGTCGTGACAAGCAGAGGTTACTTGGCCGCGTACTTCGCTGGGAAGCTCTAATTTCCACGATTCGCTAAGATGCTGACCAGGCTGATTCTCCCAGGGCATTTGAGTAAATCTAACGAGTAACAGAAGGAGAATTAAATGAAATCTTAGGGAAGTTAGTACTGAATATCCCCATTTTTAAAATCAAATATATTTTTCAGTTACTTTACTAACATAAAAATCAATTAATTTAAGCTTACTAAAATGTAATAATTAAGCCTCTCTGTGAAAGTCGAAATTAAGGTTTGTATGAACGCCAGTGGATATAGATAGATGTATTTGTTATAAAAAGGCGTTTGGATAAGTCATCCAAACCCTGTTTCCTATATGCCATCTTACAATACCAATCCTTCGGTACAATTTTTATTCAGCAGCTACTAACGCATATGAATGAAAGTAGAAAAGCAAGCGGCAAAAGTGAAATACGGTTTTTATATATACAACAATATGCCCCACTCCTA